TTGTCGCAGCTGTGAAAAAAAAAAAAAAATTGGGGCTTGGAAGGGTCTTAAGAAGGTTGTGTGTGGGCGTTGGGAAGGGTTCTGTCGGGGTTGCTGACAAATGTAACAGAGGTGAACTCCACACACGACAAAACAAGTATAAGACTGAATGAAGTTCATGAGTTCGAACAACAACAATTAAACACAATTTTCAAAACCATTGAGTCATTCTCCATCATCTGCAAGAAACAATCATTGCACAAGTTTTGAAATTATAACATTACAGGCCAATGAAAGAACATGGCGAAACAGTTGCGCTGTGCACACACGACAATAAACGACAAATGCACACTGGACTCAGTCAAATGATGTGCGAAAAAACTGTCGAATCGTCTGAAACATCGATACAAAAGTAAAAGGAGAAACAAAAAATGAAACTGTGAGCAGTGCACCTGCTGAGCCGGTGTGTGAAGAAATACTCACAAAAAGTGCAATCCTCCGAAACATCGATGAGAAAATAAAACGAGAAACAAAAACAAACTGCACCCATGCATGGAAATAGTATACAATAGTCTAACCACCTATACAAATATAAATGCAGTCATGATGACCTGAACAGACTACTCCAACGAACACAAGGCCTCGTCAGAAGCACTAAATATACAGTACACTACTACGAAACAGAGGATGAAAGAAGACTAATGGTGGAACTATGCATCATCGTCGTCCACAATGTCCTTCCTCCTCCTCTTCGACCGCACACCTGTTACACCATCCCCACCACCTGTAATGCCTGTTGGCGAGTGCCCAATATCCGGAGCATGATTGTCCCCATGTGGTCGAAGAAGCTCGTACAAGGAAAGCCTCCTCCGCTGGCTAACAGGCATCTTCAAACCGTCTGTGCCAGACTCCAAAACGACAGATGCCTGTGACGGTCGTTGCGCTGGCACAGGCCTCACATCCTCCCCCAATATACGTGCAGCCATCCTCCTCCCGGCTGTGCTCGTCGTGGTCGCCCGTACCCGCTGTACGCCCTGCGGCACGTGCCAACATTGCCTGAGCAGGTGCGCTCTCGGCCTGATCCGTTGCTCGGGTGGAGGCCCTCTCCTGCCATCCTACTGCGTCCGCGATAATGTCCCCGCCCAGAGCCGCCCGTGTCCGCGGATGTAAACCGAACAACCCGGGTTGACTCGCCCGCATCGTCTGCGTCACTCTCTTCACGGTACTAAGACTCTTCCCTGCTCTCATCTTCTTCTTCTTCCGTGACTGAGGAGACTGAGACTCCCTAACGGGTGCCGGCGAGAGGCCCCGTGCCGCCGCTGCCGCGCAAGGACCCTCCACATGTGCGGGTGTGATGACATCTGTGGTGGACGATGGCACTTACGGGCTGCAAGGCACGTAAGCTGGGCCCTCTGCCATCAACCTCCTCGACGCCTCGTCCATCCGCCCACGGCGATCTGCCTGCAATGGGTCCTCCTCTGCCTGCCACTCCAACTCCCCCACCGACATGGCCCCACGGAGAGGCAATACACAAACACCGTGAACTGGCGACGCAGGTCTCTCACCCGCATCCCCTCCGCCCGCACCGCTGCACTCGACCTCTGCATCTCCTGCTGCAACGCCCGTCTCGAGCATCCGCGCTACACGTGCCCTCGATGCAATACTCTGCGTCATCTCACAGCTACTAGCCAACCCCTGCGCCCTACTCCTCTCCTCGCGGTCGATCCTGTCCTGCTCTGACTCTGTCGCCCACTCCTGCACAGGTCCACACTCCCCATCATCCCCAGCTGCACCCTCGTGCTGCCCCGACCAACCCGGTGTCCCCTCTGCCGCCTCCTGCAACATGCTACTAGTGATGTCGCCCGCGCCGCATGAAGGTATAGCACAAAGTATCTGACTGACGGGCGTGGCCGCTGCGTCCGCATCGGCACCAACACGCTCCCCTGCCGGCGCCGGAGGAAGCCCTACCGAACCATCAAAAACGCTGTCGCTGAAACTGGGACCCAACTGTCCAGATGGCCTCCCAACCTGTACACCCTCGCCACCAACACCTGCAAACTAGCCTGCCCCCTCCGCAGACCCCACTGCGAACTCTGCAGGGGACGGAGCAACCTCTGTAGGGGAGGGAGCAACCTCAGCTGACTGAGCGGGCATCCCCTCATCAACGCAATGCACAGTGTGAGTGGACGATGCAGACTCTCTCCCCACTCATCCCTTGCCATCATGCCCTGCACCACCTGTGTGCCCTGCTCCCCCAACAACTGGCCCGCTGCCTCGGTCGCCACTACATCGGTCGCGACGCTGTCTCTCGGACCTCCGCAAACCACCCGCAGGCTGTGCACCGTCCCCAACATTCTGGCCCTCCTCGGTGTGTCAAATTTTCCACACCGGTTTGAAAGGCGATCCTTCCGCCCTCTGTCGGAGGGCCCGACATTCTGGCCCTCCTCGGTGTGTCAAATTTTCCACACCGGTTTGACGTTCTAACCTGCAGGGTAAGACGTACCCCACTACCCCAACCTGAGTGAGCCACGGTCCAGCCGCTCTGCTTAACGGCAAAGGGCTGCGCTATGGGTCATCAAACTAATTAGTCCTGATCATTCCGTGGCCAACCGCTGATTTGTTTTTGTGCGAAGGGCTCGGCAAGCCTTGATAATAAATAAATAATAATAATAGTAATAAAAGAAGTCGGTCTAAGTGGCGGCGGTACTCACATTGGTGAGGCCTAGATCCAGATCAGAGGGTGTCTGCCGGGACCGTATTTCTGCAGCCGGGCCCGGATTCCAGTTCCACCAGCGGGACTACTGGACCTGGAATCAGTGCCAGCTGTAGTACCGCTGGGCTGGGTCTACTTGGGCAGTACCTTTCCTGTTCCACGACGCATACGTGCGTGCTCAGACGCCACGTGTCGACGGGCACAGCAGCCATCTGTCGGCCTAGGGAAACTGCCACTTGGCAGTTACAAGAGGGGGAAGTCTTTGACTTGCCCCTCAGTCCTGACGTGTCACATGCCACTCGTCGACGGGCACTGCAGCGAGCTGTCGGCCCAGGGAAACAGCCACTTGGCCGTTACAATAGGAACCAGGGTTTGACTTTCGTCGTTCAGTCTTGGTATGTACGCAGGGCAGGAAGAGAGCGCGACTTGCCGGACAGCCAAGGACACACTGACATGCCACCTGGTGGTTACTTACCCCAGGGTTGTGACTCGATTCATTCATTCATCTTTGCGTACAATGTGACAAAAGAGGGGACATCGAGGACCCCCCTAGTGCAAGTGTGCAAGTTGAACACTCTCTTGAACACTATGAGTGTTTGTCATGAACAGCGCATAGAATTGCACCCTGTCACTGAAAAGTATCGAATGAAGAAGAAGGGCGAGGGACTTGATCGTTTGCATGACCCGTAATCAACAACGGTAAGAGAGGCAAGCTCTGACTCAATGATGTGAGAAACTAGTTTTCACTCTGCCTTGGGCGAGCGCCGAACAGTCAGCGTCAGCGAGGGAAGGCTACAGGCAGAACGCTTGGGTGCGAGCACATTGGTGAACAAGAGTAAGTATCTGCACATGAGGACGAAACAGAATAGATGGGGCAAAGTTAGCTATGGAGGTACGAATGGACAGTCATGGGTGTTTCGTTTATTTCTGTTATAAGCAACAAGGACGCCACTAATCTCATGCGTGACCAGCCCAACTCAAGAGAGTGAGCCTTCTAATGTTATCAACGTTTTGCTATGGATGAAGAAGCAAACGCCAGCGCTGAGGTTGATTACCTCATGCCCGCAACCTTTCCGCCACCCGAAGAGCTGTCCTCATGAGACCTCTCACCCATCGCCGTACAACACAGGGGATTTCCCCTCCGATTGAAGGTGGGCTTGTTTGGGAGGGAAAACCAAGCACCGAAAGGCGAAGGAGTAGTAATCAGCTAGCTGCTTGTACCACTGTTGATCGTGAAAGAGTATGCTCATACTCGTGTGCCTCTATGCTACCTGCCCACCTGTTCTTTCTTTACTATAAAGAGTCGCAGAACACTCATCCGGTGGGCTCATTATTCCTCTTATTGCTTAGCGGATACATGAGCATGCTAGCATGGACGAGGTCGCCAGATGCAGAAGTGTTAACGGGGGATAGGTGATCAAACCAAATTTACAGCGGGAAGTGCACTGATCTGTTCCTGGAACGTTATTCAAGCGGGTTGACCAATCCAAATGAGTCCCAATATAAAGAAATATATTCTTGAATGGTCGAGCCAGATCTGAGTGATTACTCAGGCCCGCTGGATTTAAAAAAAAAAAAAAAAATGAGTATTAATTTCGAATGTCCTTGGGCATAATCAGCGCACAGGTGCGTTCAATTTCTCTATTTAAAACACATATATTATTTTGAGATGCATCTGGCTATAACCTCTGGTAGGTATATTTGATTTCCCAACTACCAGCAATCTGCAGTCCAATTAGAGAGCAATCTTTTGCAATTAACGTACTGGCTGCTCAAAGATTATTACCCATTTTCGATATTCGTAACAATCAACTAGCGGCATACTAACACCTCTGTGTTGGTCAACCGCAAGCAGCGTTAGCCCTCAACTCTTAGTCCTCTCTCCTCTCCTGCTTAAAACGGTGTCATCCTGAGGTGATCCTTGTAGACGAGTGAGAGAGAGGCTATGTGGATTCTTACGAGCCTGATGATGAGGACAACTCCAAAGTGTGGATTCACACAGTATGTTTCTCATCATGGTAGTAATGGTCAGTACAATGGGAAGCAATCACGCTATATCTGTGATGGTTGAATGTGCCTGACTCGTCACCTACACGTCATCTGTGTAGAAAGAAGGGTCTGCTGCAACTTGGAAAATGGAATGATTTTCGCGTGGGTTATGAGGTTAATGGTCTGTAAAAACATATATCTCATACTCAGAGCATCCATTCAAAGATCGGACCATGCACGATTCAAGGGGACCTAAAGGCACACATCTTGACTGTTCGGATTCACGAATGGTTGAGATTTATACATAACCATGTGAAGCCCAAAGAGGGTGATTATCTCAGAAATGCGGTTTGGTCTACTGTGGCTGAGAGAGAGGGAGAGAACTGCGCGGTTGGTTGTTGAGTTGAGCGCGAAGAGACAGTTATGCATCTCACTGTAGCTCATGACCATATACATTCAAGGATATGAATGTCCAAAGTGTGCAGTGAGAGAGAGAGAGTGCACACAGTCAGAGAGTGTGTAGTGAGAGAGAGAGACGTGGAACGCAGAAGTTGGAGCACTTTTCCTGTCAGCCCACAAACGGCAGCAGTAAAACTAGAATATGCAAGGACGATTGTTTCACCATCAAAATGAATTTTCTGAATTTTTGTATTATTTTTTCTGAAAAGATCACGAGCAAGTTTACGGGCTCTCAATCTCTCAGAGTCTTTGACGCATTCTTTCGAGCAGGAAAATTCGCAGAAGTTGTACTTTTCTCGTTGGCCTACAAACGCCACCGTGGCAAAACTGGAATATAAAACAAGTCGGCGCGGCGATTGTTTCATGGTCAAAATGATTTATTTATATTTTTCGGATATTTTTCCTGGAAAGATCATGACCTAATCTACCAACGACCAAAGTTTCAGAGTTTTTGGTGAATTCTTCTGAGCGCGAAAAATCGCCAAAGTCGATGCCTTCAAATTGAAGGACTAGACCCATCATTTCAGCCTGTGGTTGCCGCCCTATCCCCAAGCGCGGCCCTAACTCCAAGGCCAGTTTAATAGATGAATGGAGCTGCAGCCCGTTCACGGTGTGTATAAGCATACCACAGACGCAGACACAGAGAGAGAGAGAGAGAGAAGAGAATGAATGCACCTATCCGTGTTTCTGCTGAAGATTCAGGTTGATCCAATTGATTGGTGAATGGTTTGGTGTGGCCGCGAAGGCAGTAAGGACTTCAAATTGGCGATGTACCTTTCCATGCCTTTGCTAGAGGTTCACTCCGATATCTCCGCTGGTGAGTGATAGAGGGGTGATGTCTTGTAAACAGCGAGCACAACACTGTATCTTCCCATGTTCTAACGGAAGATTCATCCTCGTAAGAAATGAAGTGGTAGCTCGCCTACATGGAGATGTGCACGTGACAGGGAGATTGACGGGGGTGATAGATCGGGAGTCACGAGGTAAGGGAGACAATCAAGATGGATAACTTACATTTGTCTCCATAGAAAGGCAGAAATTCCGAAACTGCCATTGCGAAATATGGGAACTCCAGAAATGCCCCTCTCGAACCATTTTCCCAGCGACTCTTTCACATCTCTGATGGGATGCCCTTGTTGCTGGCTGAAAGATTAGCCCCACCCCCAACCAGATGTAGGGAATAATACTGGTCTTGAGTCCCAGTTGAGAATCTTTCTCTTTGATTGTCAGACTTATCTCAAAGGAGAAACTTTGAGGCTGGGAGGCGGCGTTCTCATCTCAAAGTGCGGTTAGTCAAATTAATGGCAGATTCCATCCCGAATTGAACCCGTGTTAGAATTAGTGTTTGCTTGTGCATCAGTTTCATACAAGTGATCAGATTGGATTCAATGAGAGAAGGACCCATCCTATTCAAAGCAACACTGATTTTGCTCAGCGCGATATGTGAGGAGGGTCTCAGCAAATTCTGGAAACTTGAGTTGCTGGTACAGCAGATCCCCTCGGGTTCGGAAACTTTACAGCAGATCCCAGTGGATACAGAAGGATCCTAGCGGACTCATAAACTTGCAGCGGGGCCCTCAGAAACTTGCAGCGGGGCTCGGAGGGCTCCGACAGCTCGACAGAGATGAACAAGGGAGCACCAATGACTGCTAACTTAGGGAGTGCCAATAGCTTGTGGTTTGGCAAAACAGGGCATAGTGATGCCTGTGGGACAGCAGGAACAGACCACCAAAAACAGAGCTGAAGGGACATTTCGG